TGAAGGGGCAAAAATACCCGGTCGTACGTTTCCCTACGAAGCAGTTACAATTCGATACAATTCCGCGTATTCTATGGGATCAGACAGCCTTCGCAGTAAATAGAAGTCGATAAGTCGCATTCAAATCAATAATCGAAGTGAAATGCATGGCGCATTCCCGGGGATGATAGGAAGACTCCCTTTGAATCACGATTTCTCCTTTTACGATTCTAAATGAGATCGCGGTTGAAATAGCCACCGCTCTATCTCACAACAATAGGAGGAGCGTAAGAGTACCTCTCGGGGCTTTTCTGAAGCCTAGAAGTGCCTTCGGGGTCTTCCTGAAGCCCACAAGTACCTTCCGGGCCTTTCTACAAGAGGTGACTTCGTTATCGTGAAATTTCGAGTCTGAGGAAAGGAGCACGAGTGCTATGAAGGGGCAGAAGACTAGACTATCGGGGGTCATTTTTTAACGAATCACTTATATTTTTACTAACCCTTTCACCTATTTCTTCTCTTTCTTTACTATTTAATATTCTACTCATTTTTATGAAATTTTTATCCCTTTCAATCTTGGGCTATACGATGGCAACTACAGGACACTTCAGATCTTCTCTACAGTAAGAACCTATCAAACAGGTCCTGAACCTCTTTTCGCCCTTCTGGAAACCCTTTCACCTACTTATTGATTGCGTTTAATCAGTTTGTCACGGTAATCCCTTTCATAATGCCTCATGACTTCAATCCCCTTTATCCACTTGAATAAGCAATTAATTCGCTCTGCTATCCGCCTTGACGTCCTTGATTGCGCCACATTATCAGCGTATTGATTGCCGGTCTTCAAAGATACATAACCGATCCGATCAATACCATCAGACTGGACTTGTTTTTACATTCTGCCAACATTAACGCAACAGGAACTGTCCCTCGCGTGATTCTGTTCGATTCGTTCCAGTGTATAAAAAAGGGCAAATCTGTGGGGGCAGTTCGCGGCTGAACAGTCCCTGAAACATTTTTTCAGGAGGGAAGCGATAACTGGGATACGGGTTTTGAGAGAATTCTCGGTGGAAAAATATAGGAGAGAACTACGAAAACGAAGATGTCCTGGAAAACCATAGGAAGGTTTAGATGTAGCTTTTCCCGAGGAGTGGGCGAGCAGGGCACGCCATCGAGTTGTGATCATTTCCTGAAAAATACGATCCCCCTGATTCCATCCTCAAATACGACCCCCCCTCTCCTAGATTTTCCAACTTCCTACCACTTTTTCCATTTTTCCCCGAAAAATTTCTGGTTTTTTTTCCAAAATTTTGCTGTCGAGCGGGAGGGGGGAGGGGAGGTCGTCAGGATTTAACTATCATTTTCAACTATCGGAAATAGTAGTTGTATAGATCTTTGGCAGTCCCTCTCCCAACAACGACCAAATACGACCCCCCTCGCGGTCAAATACGACCCCCCCGTTGTGATCATCACAACGATGGCGTGCCCTGTGGGCGAGGGGGATGTGGTCCGCTAGAAGCTCCTTCTCTGTACGCTTCAGAGGATTGAATCCCTATTAAGCTAGTCATGACTCCGAGGCCGGTGAGCACTATATGAGCAGGACGCCTTGTACGTTGGGGATCCCCAGGGCGTGGATTGTAGTCGGTGAAGTGAGGCGGAGAGAGGGTGAGGGCTTTAAGCGCTACATGGCACCCCCCCCCGCTTAACTGCTCGCGGGTTTTTTTTGAGGAAAAAAAAGGTAAACTCGGAGAGGAAGCTGGAGGTGGGGCAGGGCCGGTCGTACTTATGCAAAACTTTCTTGAACGGCATACAAGTACATGTACTACTCTGCTACGGTGGGAGCGGTGTTTTGTAAACCTCTGAATATACCGGGCCATTTTATGAAACTTCGTAAACCCTTGCAAAGCTTATAGAATAGGTATGCCAGTTTCATTTGATATAGCCGTAAATCAAATAGCTACCGTCATATGAGGTTAGACAGAGCAACCAGAAATTCCGACCAACTGTAACAACAACCATCTTTCCTGTACAGTTGAAAAACCCCACAAATGTGCAAAGCACATTTGCCCAGAGATCATCTGGTTCACTCTCCCAGCGCTAGTACAATCTAGATCTTCTACAGTCCAGTACTGTAAATCGCACCACTCCATATCGCGAAGATGGGAAGGGCGTGGCTACGTGCTTCATTTACCCAAGAATGCGTTTTTCGCGGGACCATTCCTTCTGAGACAAAAGTTTTCATGTTTTTGTGCTGGGAAAAGACAGTTCCAAAAAAGGCAATGTCCCAACAAAGGTCGGCCGCCGCATCATGAAGTACGCGGCCACGCCCATCTCAGTTCCGGGGTATGCAGTCTAGTTGTTAGACTATGCTATGACATGACATAGGTTCTGGTGACATTTCTATTGAGGAAACTGATCAGTAATGAGGAAATTGATTTCCTTCTTCTCTCTCCTACACTACACTAGACAAGAGTCTAAAGTTTTCTTCAAGGAGAAGATGTAATCTAACCGGGACTAGCAAGAAAGCGAAAGTGCAGAACTCCCTTCTTTCCCTCCTCTCCCTAAGCCGAACAGCATCAATTTTTTACAATGAGGCGAAGTGGGTGGAAGGAGGGTGAACAAATTGGTTTATGCAAACGAGGTTCTCTCATTTTATAAGAAGTTGTTTTCCACTTCAGAGGCTCCTTGAATCTTCAAGACAGGTGCATGGGTGACGCTAAATCACGGTCACGTCCTCCGTTAGATAAACCTTTTGGCAAAATACAACGCGCCGCCTCAAAAAGTTCCCTTTTAGTAAGGACTCCCGCCACTCTTTCCTCAATCCTACCTTCGACTTCTTACCACCACTTCAAGCAATATAACGCAGCTGCTACAAGAAAAAGCTGAGAGGTTCACAACCGGAAGCATTTCTCGGCGCAGTTTCGAACGGTGGGTGGGGGGGGGCATTCTGCTTTCCATAAATTTGCCAACCTCATCTAGGTAGCTTTTCCCGAGCTCACACGTTTTAGGATGGTGGCTAGACGATCTTGCTCCAGCTTCACAAGCGTTCACAAGTTTTACCAGAGTGAGATTTGTAAACCGGAACCAGGGAAGCAATTATAATAAATAACAAAATGCCCAGCCCGTTGACGAACAGCGCCGATCTCACAGAAGCAAGTAGAATCTCTTCCCTACAGCGATCAAATACGACCTGAAGGCACTTCGGTTTGCATACTTTACCTGAATGAAGCCTATGAACTCCTGTGAAGCTGGTGCAAGCTCATCGAGCCACAATAGTTGAAACCTGTCACTTATGTCGATGGGAAGTAGCAAAAGTGCGAAATTTCCCCCCTCCCCTCTCCCTCGTCGCCGAACTGCGCCCCTGATGGGGACTCCTAGTGCACCCCCCAAGGGGTCTGCAGTTCTGACCTAATAAGTAACGTATAGGACTGCGGAAAGGCATTCCCCAGCGGAGACACACGAAGACTCGCTAGGTTCTACCTCGCAACACACCGTTCAAGTTCCCAGTTCAAGGTCCTGAACGACATAAACCTGTCTTTTGTGCTTTTTCACAATAGTTATGAAATCGATTATAACCACATCACAATAGTTATAGATAACTGAGTTCTACGTTATGACCTTCCCGTCCGCGGAAAAAAACCGCTCTGTCAGTCAGAGTGTAACAACCGTGAACCCATCAAATCGTTAGATTGCTCAGGTGGGAACGACGACCACAACGGCGATACTGACAACATTATCAACGTAACCACCGTATTAGCACAGAGAAATTAGAAGGAAATCAATCAAGGAGAATGCTGTAAAGTGCAGGAAGTGCTAAGGGGGATTCTGTAGTGTTCTGGAGCGGAAAATTAACTCGCGGATTTATCTCTAGTGAGCTGATGTTCTTATGTTCGATGTTCTTGATGTTGTTGGGATGAGCTAATTGACAAGGGACGGAACACTTAGGTTACATACTTCCTGGTAACTTCCAGAGGTAGAACGGAGCAGTAAAGCCTGCGACAAACTCCTTGATGGCTTTCCTCCAAAAACTGGCAGCGACTAGCTGCTTCAGCTAAGTCATGCATCTTACATCCACCTTGATTCTCTTTTTGAGCTACGTAATTTATTAATGAATTCTTTGGTGTTTTCAATCCCAGATGGGCTCGGAATCGATCGGCAGGAAGTTGATGCTCATTGTCATTACAACAGAATTTCAGTAAACTCGATAGCTCATCAGGGCTGAACCTTTACTGTTGGGAGAAATCTTGTGCATCGTCCTCAGAGACACATTCCAAGTTGGTCTCGTGGGCGGAGTCAGGCCTACCCCTGACCTTTCTTATTGGTTTACCCTCTCTTCCCTTCCGCAGAAAGTAGAGCTGACGTGAAGAATTCACGACGATGAGCCTGATTTCTCCCATACAACTAGTAGGGAAATTCGTCTTTTCAGAGTGGGGGGGGGGGGACTCAGCCTAACCTTCGATGTTTATCCACAAGGCTATGTGAGCCTTCGGATAGTTAGCGCTTGGGCTAATGATGTGCCTAGCAACAGTAATCGCGCAGTGCAGCCTGCTTTTTTGATTATTCCTAGCATACCTTCCTTATCCCACTTATGGAAGAGGCGTGGCTGTGTATACTATTCAACCACAGCTTATACGTTTTTCGTGAGATATTTCCATTTAAGTCAACAGTCATTTTGCCGTGGCTGAACAGAGGCATAAATATAGTACGACTGCCCATAGCAAACTGTCCTTCAAGGACAAGAAGCCGCTATGTTCAAGTGAAATTCGAGGTCACGCCCTTCTCATCTTTAGGATATGGAGGGCTTTTCAGATAGAAGCCCGACGCGTTTGAGTCAGCGAAAGTACCGTTCGAGAAGCTTCGCAACGGCACAGTCAAGGCAAGTATCGTCACACTCCTAGGACCTAACTGATTTAACATGAAAGTGCTACTGTATGTGGACTCAACTAGCTAGGAAACACGAGATGCTCCTTGGGGGTTATCGTAGCGTAGTCCTCGGCTGCTGACATTTGAGGTACTGGACCGGTGGTCTCATACGGAAATAGCCGTACTGTCACCAAAGTGTCTGCCTCTTGACCCTCTAGCCTCTCACCCTGACTCGCCAGCGTATCCCTAGGAACAACGGCTTTCGTTCACTTCAGTGAAACTCCATTCATTTTCTCGAACTCTCAGGCTGCAGCTCTGCATGGCACAGGCCACCTACTGTTGCTCGCCCAATTACAGCATTTTTCCGGCAGCCGGATAAATACTTGTTGATGTTTTTAGTAGTTGTCCAATGCACAAAAGCAATTACAACCATAGCAGATAGTTTTTCAACACTTCGTTGTTCCTTGGGGAACAATGTCACCCCCTTGACAAACGTCGTTAGAGTGGGTGATTTATGAAGCGCCGTTCATGAAAAAGACTATCAAAATCGAGTTTTTCCCGACGAATTCCAATGATACGCAAGGGGTCGCTCTGAAACCTACGATAATCAATTAGTGCACAATTGTCTGTTCAACCTTGTTCGATTTGCGGCTCGTTTGACAAAAAGGCGATGGGCAAGGGGAGGGGGAAGTGGACTTACATACCGTACATAGCAAGTTAACGTAAGGCTTGTTGGTCAGGAGGTCCGGGTTACGGCGACAACGAGGCACTAGAGCAGCTTGAGCGTCACTACTTAGCTTTTAGCACGTCCTGCCTTCGGGTGACATTCTTACTAGATACGATCTCCCTCCTTTAGAGACCAAGCACGACCACCATCTTCAGGGATCCTCACCCTTCAACGTATGATGTGCCCTCGCTAGCTGCCAGTTGTTCAATCGACTCACTCTAGTCGGCCAGTATTTTCGTCATCAATAAGGTTCTGGTGCAAATGCCGCGCGCGTGACGCTTGTTACACTGCTGCTTTCGCCGCGCCCCAACAACTCTGGTCTCCTACCCTGTACCTGAAGGTAGAGCGCTCGGTGAGCTAGCGTGGTACTGAGGAGCAACTAGTGAGTTCTTCCTCATTGAAGTGCCCCGCATATTATTTCGGTCGACAGACAAGATTGAACAACAGCAATTTTGAGTACAAACTAGGAAGGTCCGCCAAGTTACCAACTGGAACTTTAAATAGAGACCCAGGTAGATCTATAGGGTCTGGGATACGATTTACAAGTCTGGAAACCAAAACTGCTACCTGCATTACGCAAACGGGTTATAAGCTCTCAAAATTTACGCAGTGTTATGCTCGTGCATAATACTCCTGCCAGATAAAGAGTGAAAGTGACGCGAGGAGCGCTGTAGCGCAGTGGTAGGTTTTTCGCTTGGGAAGCGGTATCAGCTGGGTTCGGCCACCGCTAGTGCAAAAGTTTCTGCTTTATCACCTATACAGGCATTCATTCCGATTTTTTGACTTTGATTTTTTTTCGGAATAGCACTGTTCAAGCGAGCACAGGTCAAGTACTTGACAAGGCAGGCGTCATACAGAGGGTAGTTGCACTGCAACTGAAGCACCCTCATGGACCACAACCTTTCGCTGCACAGGTGGTCTCGACAGTGTCGTTAATTTCATTACAAACTGTGTACACTCCTTATCCCTGAGATGGAGTAGGTGTGGCTTTCAAGCATGGCACAGGATGAGTTTCTCGTGGGATACTTAACAAGCTGCTATCTTGTTCTGTGTTAGATGTAGACATGATTACGACTGCTCCAAAATGACAATATCTCACGAAAACCTGGGCCGCCGCCATTTTAAAATCAAGTACGCAGCCACGCCTACCCGATCTCAGGGATTTCGAGTATAATTACAGTCCATAATTGGTCTGCAAGCGTTATGCCCCACTGTCAGTCCATCTTCTGACTACTTTCTTCTTCGATGCATGAATCGTACCGTACGAAACGGATCAGGAGTTGCGCAGTGATGTTTGGATACTGCCCTTACCTTCACCTCTTGCTCCGGGTGAAACCTAGTACCTAGGGGTAGTTCGACTCCCGAACACCAATATTATACCGTTTTTTATCCGTTTTACATAAAAAAGCCCAGCGTTCATGCTACAGGCGCCCTGGTGACCAGTCCTTATCAAATTTGGGGGGTTTGCCTGCTCCAAACTCGCCTCTGTGCAGATAGCAATGTTGCTTTTCATAATTGTAAACACCAGTCCTAGACCCCGTCGACAGATCTAGGTCTCCATGTAAAGTTCCATGGTAAATTGGCGGACTCCCCTGGTAAGTGATATTCCCAATCGATAAGAAATGATATTAATCAATAGTAATAGTTCAAATGGTATTATTTACATTTTAGGTAGTCAGCGATTATGGAAGTATAGAAGGATTGTGTGCAAAATTAAAAACTGATCCTATCAATGGTCTTCCAAACGATCGTCACGAAATTGAACGACGGCAACACGCTTTCGGCAAAAATGAAATCCCACCAGCAAAATCGAAATCGTTTTTTCGACTAGCCTGGGAAGCCCTACAGGTATGGTGCCCGTTTCCCCTTGCTTCAGAGGGTCAAGCAGAGAAGACCAGATCCCTTAGCCGTTACTGATTTCAGGATATCACTTTGGTAATTCTGCTCATATCAGCAATAGTATCACTTGGTTTGTCATTCTACAAACCGCCTGAAAATGTCGGTGCAGGTAGGTTACAACTATTTCACGAGTTCGGTGGTACTGAAGTTAAGAGCATGAGAGGCAGTTTTTCTTCACCTTCCTATTGGTCACGCCCATTCTAGGCACTGTTGGGCTTGGAGGGGCATTTTGCACTTGTGCACATTATTTTTGTTAGTTTCTTAGTCTCCGAAAACTCTCTTCTCTACCCCATGGCTCCTTGAAATAACCCCTATTGAAGCATCCCGCACCAACACCTCATAGTCAAGTGAAATCGCAGTCCAGTTCGAAATAAAGAAGTCTTCGCTGCAGAAGCTGAGGCGTGTTAGGGGGGGGGTGGTTTGTCGCGGCGCCAGACCGTTCTTCAGCAACGGCTGAAGCAGGCAAGCAACAGCGATTGGTGGCAAACGGGCTGGAGCCACGCTAAAGCCAGACCCCGACACCTTCCAACGTCTGCAGTGAAAGCGGCAATATCGCTCCTCAACTACATTCGTTTCGTTTCCACTGGTCCCTTATAAAACCCCAGAGCCAACCCCACTTCACATAAATTCCTTCAGGTCACGACGACTCTGAACAGGAAGCCGGCTGGATCGAAGGTGTAGCTATCCTGGTCGCCGTCATTGTTGTTGTACTTGTCACAGCATTGAACGACTGGTCCAAGGAGAAACAATTTAGAGGTGAGTGATTTCCGCTCGGGACCCTTGGGACCATTTGAGTTGTTCTATTACGTTTCTTTCGAGGTCTCCAATCAAAAATCGAAACCGAACACAAATTCTCGGTGATTCGAGGCGGACAGCCTGTTGATGTCGTCGTCAACGATCTGGTCGTCGGAGATGTCGCTCGAGTGAAATACGGTACGATTTTTTTTATTTTCTTGCACCCCGGAATTTTAATAAGCCCCAGTTATATACACTTCATATCGTTGAGGGGCGGTAGGCGTGGCTACGTACGTGGGTTTAGGAAGAGCTATTCGTATCATATTTCATGTTGAGACAACTATCATCTCATCCTGTGCTGGGTAAAAATATGGTCACGATTGCCGCAAAATGACAAATCCTCACTAAGAGCTTAGTCGCGGCCGCTTTCAACTGAGGTTCGCAGTCACGCCCACTCCATCTTAGGGATTTGGGGTATAAATTCTTAACAGCGATATTTTTGCCATAGGACTTCCAATTTTGCCAACCAAGGGAGACTTTCAGAGTAGTGCGTACCTTGTAAGACCCCATAAAGACCGATCACTAGTTCGAGATGGTATTTTAGGCGACTTACTACCAGCCGATGGTTTGGTGATCCAATCGAATGATCTGAAAATCGACGAGTCATCGCTGACCGGCGAATCAGATCTGATCCGGAAAAGCTGCGATCATGATCCGGTATTGCTCTCAGGTACTAACGCCATGGAAGGCAGCGGACGGTACGTTATTGATTGGTAGATTTAATTTGAATATCGATCAATCGATCAGTATGGACTTTCTCACTTTGATGGCCTCTACTGTCATCTCCCCACAGGGTGTGGTGTAGGTTTTGAGATCCGAAAGGAACGACGCCTATATGCTAGTAGACCTACTTCTTCTCCAGTCGGTTGGCCTGAGTGTTGGTGCGAATGTCGCGCACGCGACACAATGCGACGTGTCGCGACAACGTAAATCTCTTATCCGACGACCCCCCCCCCCGGCTTTTATTGTTTTCCTTATTTATTGTATCAAGAAGTTTCTCTTGATTACTTTTATTCCTTTTCAACAGTACCACATAATGACCCCCCCCCCATCTAAAAGAATTTGGATATGGATATATTGATTTGTAAATGAATTTGTGATTTTTTTTTCTAGATTTATTATCACCGCTGTCGGTCTGAACAGTCAGACGGGTATCATCATGAGCCTTCTTGGTGCAACCAAGGATGATAAGAAAGAAGACAAAGAGAATAAGGTTCAGATGAATGGAAACGGTAAGTTCCATTCATATTAACTTTTCTGTCAATTTTTCAAATTATATTGCATATTTATTGATTTTCCAGGCCATGCACCTAATCTTACCGTAGCCAATGGTCTGGCAAACGGTGATAAAAAGAAGGAAGACGATGTCGCTATGGTCGAAGAGGAGCCCAATAAAGGAAAATCTGTACTCCAAGCGAAACTTTCAAATCTTGCCATACAAATCGGGTACATGGGTAAGCCCTGGCGTTACCTCTGTATTTATTGTATCACAATTCCTAAATATTCATATTTATTTCATTTATTATTATTCAGAGCTCCCATAATTGCTTACCTATTCACTTATGAAATTTGCAAGTCATCCCTGCGTGCGGCTGCGCAGCGTTTTTTCAATTGAAAGGCGCATGTCAGTGAAAAGACTCAGTCTTGAATGATTAGATTGTTGAAATTGATTAGATCTGTGTCTCTCGAAGGTAGTTCACCCTATCCTCCAGAGTTTATTCTTTCGAACCTTACACAGCCTCTGGCAGACAGTTCGTATGAAATCGAACCACTTCGCACCGCACGCTGGATCGGCCTCAGGCGTTAATTTATCCTTGCAAATCGCCCGGACAGTGTAAGGGTTTTTATGGGGTTTTGTTGATAATCCTGAACCTTTGTGCATATTCGTGAAATCCTTGACATGGACAGAAAGACGCTTCCAGACAGGATAACGACAGGCGGTTGCGAATTATCCATGGGTAGCAAGCAACAAGTGACGAGCAAAGAGGGCCCATTGAAGGTGGGGGATCCCGAGCGGATTGAAAGCTGGACGTTCCTCGTATTTTTCCCTCCCTTCGATTTCTCTCCTTGGACCATTTATATAACCACACGTTAATTAGCCTGCACACTTCCTTCTGTTAGTTGTGTGTGAGATTACAGTAGTCAAAGAACGCCCTGGAGGCAATAGCGGAGAGAGTGAGACAGATAGATGACGCCATCGAAGGGATTCGAGTACTAAGGCATAAGGCGCGATAGGTGCAGTTCGGCGACGGGGGGAGGCATTTTGCACTTTCACTGCTTCACTACTTCCGGTTTACAAGTCTCACTCTGGTGAAACTTGTGAACTCTTGTGAAGCTGGAGCAAGCTCGTCTAGCCACCATGGTAAAACGTGTCAACTCAAGAAAAGGCTATCTAGATGGGTCGACACATCGATGGGAAGCAAAATGCCCCCCCCCCCGTCGCCGAACTGCGCCGGCACGATAGTTTAGCTCAAAAATAGTAGCAGGGGCGATGTGAGGTGAGAAAATGACAAAAATGAAGGTAAAAAACCTGCAAAAAAAGCCTTGGTTGTGCACGGCCTGGACTTATGCTTTTGGACGAGTTTCCCGTTGACATTGGACCAACAGCCGCTTTGGTAGATCATGCTGCACGTTTGTATTTAAATATCCTTGCAGCAACGCTTCATATCGTTGTACTTCATAAATGAAGCGATAAGAGTACCAGTGTCGATGTGACCGTTTGTGGGCGGGCGGTTGCGATGGGCGTCTGGGTCGGCATGTTGCACCTTGATTAGGCCCTATGAGGGTGCTCTTAGTTGGGAAAGGCACCAACAGCTTCTGCTAAAAGGCATAGTATTCTTTCATGCTGGACGTATCGACCTTTACGTCTTGTCGACTTATCGTGGTCAGGTTTCTGCGACGAGACTAAGCCGATTACCAGTTTTTTGCTCATCTACACCCTATCAA